AATGCGCCCTAATTTACTATTATACACTACAGCCTGGTGCACCGCGCCGACAGTTTCGTTTTTAACCCGCAGTCGACAACTAACACTACGTCAATTCTATTACGTACACAGGTTGGTTCAATGAACAGTCAGTTCGCAGCACCTCAACGATTCACGATTTCAGAAAACAGTGGATTTTAATTAGAAATACATTTAACAACATTTTACAAGGAATTTACAATCTTTCGACAAGTCAAATAAGTAAAACATCTTATAAATCCGCCGGAAAAGTCATCCGTGTGCTTTCTGCGTCCGGGATGTTCTCTTTGTTGGTGTCAACGGTCATCTGAAAATGGAAGTTTGAAAAAATAAATACCTACCAAAGGTGAATGCCGTCGCTTTATTATCCTCTCTAATTAGAGAGGATAATATTTCTTAGGAACTGTTTTGGCTAGGTCGCATCTCTCCCTAACCCAGATTTGGTACATTTGCAATTACTGGGTACTGAAACAGCCCGTGAGAGCCGCTGCTGCCGAGACGGAGAACAGCCTCGTCTCAACAGTTCAGTGGTACCAGCACTGCAGAGACTCGCCTCATGAAGAATGGACAGAATTACTTCGTTGTTAGGCGGGGACGACGTAGTAGTCCATGTAGATGAGACAATGTTGGTGAAGAAGAAATATAACCGCGGTCGTCAGAGCCCAATCGCTCTAGAGCGAACAATATTTGGGTCATAGGTTTATACGACACGTCCCTCCGAAAAGAATTTGTTGAACGAATAGCAGACAGGAAGGCGACTACACTGGTACCTATTATAAAGCGACTTGTGAAACCGGGATCAATTGTACGTACCGACGAGTGGAGAGGCTATAATTCTATGGTCGGCCTGAATTTGGGCTACCGATATCCATGCTGAAAATTTCACACTTGTACTGAAAATACGGTGTGGAATCAAGCTGTAAATCAAAAAAAATTGTCATCCCTGGGATACATTCATCACAGAGTGAACCACTCCAGTGATTTCGTGGATCCAGTTACAAGGCCTCATAAAAATTTCACTGAGGTATTTTGGGGTCGACTGAAAAGTAGAATAAGGGCCATACGTGGATCTCAAAAGGATCTCATTTATAGTCATTTAGATGAATATATGTAGAGAATGTGGTGCGAAATCTCTATTGACAGTCCCATGCTGAATTGGGAAATGTTTCTCTCCTATGTTCGGGGGAGATACCCATTGTAGCCGTTTCATCATTTTCTTATGCATTTTTCTATAAATATAAGTTTCCGCTTATAATAAACGCCCCTTTCAGGTGATTGGTCCGTTCAAAGTCGTTTGCTGATTGGTTGTTACTGGTGTCGAAAGTTTAACTTTGCCACTTACACCTATATTCCGTCTAAAAGTTGATGGAATAAGGCGTTTTTAGCATAAACAGCAAATGATGGTGTCCTTATCCGGCCGTAATTTACGGCCAGTTAACAGATTGTTGAAATACGTACTTTTCCTTTCAGAAAATGTTATAACGACTTTTAATGAACTTTCTTTTGCAGTTTAAAGGATTATACGTGGACTTGATGAGGTGGGATAGTTCGTTTTGTTAGTTATTTCATTTACTTTGTTGTGTACTTTTGCTAATGCTGTCAAAGCTCCTCCACATGTATTTCATTAAAGGAAATCTACAGAAATACTTAGAAATTATATACGCATAGTATTTACTTATTTTATGGCATAGACTTGATGTTTACAGGAAGATGCAATATCCATTTTCTTCTTCTTGAAAAGTGTTGACTGACGTAATTATATACAATTTAACTAATTATTTCGTTATTTTAAACATGTTAAGTAGTTAATTATTGCATTTACAGTGGTAACAATGTCTACATCTTTAGAATTCTTATGTTCTTTTTCAGATAATATCTACTCTCGGGAATTTTATGGATTTGGGCGATAAAGAAAAAGATATCTGCAGTGTTGTTGATTTTGTATTACATGTTTATTCATTAATAAATGTATTCCTCGTTGTTTGTTTGTATATTCTACTTGATAAGACTGACTTCTAGCCTTTGTGTAAGTTGTGAGGTACGCAGTATATGACGTGATTTTAGAAATGCTAAGTAAAATTAGATATTCGGAAAGGCTTATTGATAAAAAGACTTTGTCGCACCGTAATGAAGTTACCGCATCCACTTGTAAAAGAAAACATTGAGATTATAAGCGCTTAGAGTTATATATCGTCTTAGTAGGACTTCGGATTCACAGTCACAAGGTGAAAAGTAAATCTGCCTGAGATAGTGTGCTTGCGATTTCTACTTATCGTAATAAACCAAGATGGGAATAATGCACCTATGCTGTTAGATTTATAACTCAGTACAACTGCGGTTATCGTAATAATTCAAAACAGAATGCCTACGGTTCGCAGCCACAGAACACGGTACGTTACTATCTGTTCATCTAATCGCGTAAACCAAAGTTTCCCAGACGCCGCATTTACTTCTAACAGTTTACCCTTAATTCCTAACTTAGCACGTGTTACTTATGTTACTGGAACACAATCGCGTTACAACAGAAGGAAAACAGATTCATTGAAAAATTGTTTATTAAACAAAAATTAGATTTCAGATGAGTAGTCCTCCGTTACTGTCAGTAGGTTCCATCTGCGTAAACTGCACATATGTGTTTCTCCATTAGCCTGAAAAGGTTTAAGAAAAGCATTATTAACTTGGGTGGTACATGTATGATCTGAATGAAAACTTCTTCTTGATAAGCATTTACAAGTAATCACTTTATAAACAATATATATAAGTGGCTAAATAGTTTTCACTAAACTTAAGGGACTTCGCAATTTATCGTCGGTCGATATCTAGTAGGTCCATCGAAGCATCATGAAATAAAAAATTATTTAACGACGAGAGTTATGCAATAGTTTGCAAAGCTTGAACAAAGATTTTAACAAAAATGAGTTTTGACAGCATTAATAATAATAATAACGTTCATGTTCATATAGTGACTATTAAACACTAATAGGTATTATTACCGCAACGAATTCATCATTAACTTGGATAGACAACTAATAATAATACAATCATACCAATTAAATGTATCACTTAATCTTATGAAGCAGGTGTTTACTTACTTTCACTGTATTCTCGCAATACTGATGTTTATGTATATATATATGCTGCACCAACCATACCGGAGAGTTGTTTCGTCCCAGTTTGAGACTCGTGAATGGTACAATCTCATGACCACATCAAGAATGGTACTCAGGAATTTCAGGTTATCAGGTGAACTCGTATGCTGTTCGGGTATGAGGATGGATTCAGATGGCCACGAAGAGCTGGAATTCATAAAACATTTGATTCCATTTCAGTGACTTAATGGCCAATGGGAATGTATCGTGACTTGAATGTCCTAGATTCTATTCCCGTCGGAGTAATGTCTACGTACATTTGAAGAGTCATAGTTGTTGTAATTAGTTGGATGTGGACATCGTGTAATGTGAATTACCTTCCCTACACCTGTCATTTATACGACAGGACGAACAGACGTGATACCTTTCGTCTATTCTGAAATTGATGCATGCAGCGTTTCATATCGTATAGTATTTTTAGTTATTCTTATATCCCGAATTCAACTTTACCGTTTCTTTGAGAATTTAGTTGGAATGATGACTGTCAAGTCACTGAATTAATGATGTGGATGTTATCCAGTGTTGCTAATCGGTTTTTCACTCCTTTTGTGTTCCCTTTGGAGACATGAGATTTCAAGCTTGAGCTCTGGAGTTTCTGGAAGCATGATGTGATTTTCTCATGGTGGAGGAATGGCTAGCCTCATTCCCCACCTTTTTTCTGCTTACTCGGTTGACTACCGACTAAACTAGGTTTAGGAATACGTTGGCGGTCGGCAGTCCTGCCCGGAGCACATGTGATGTATACCTTCTATAACTCTCGAATTTTATTCTCCGTCTCACTGAAAATAAATTTCTCAATGTTTTCACACTCTTCAGTTTTTCATATTTTATCACATAATTTGTAGGTGTAAGACTTAGCTTAATGTAGACCTAAAACAATCACCTATACAAAACTTACTCACCGCTTTCTGACCTTAGCTGTACTCTGCCTAACGTGCAAGCACTAACGAACTGAATCAAGGTAAAACGACTCGAGATGGCAAGTGTGCCTAGAACAGAGTTATATTTTTACACAAATGAGATATGAAACTTGATAAAAATAAGAGGTTATACACTTATCTGCTGCCTTGACCGTGGTAGGCTCGGAGAGTGAGCTGAATGAGAGCACAACGAGAGAGCGAACCCATAAGGTAGAGGAGAGTCACGAATCGAAAAAGGAAGAAGAGCCAAAAGTGGGTGAGTGCGTTCAAACAAAAGTTCAAAGGTTCAGTGTACACTACAGGTTATCCCCCCTTTAGATGGTTGGTGGGAAACCGGCAATCTTCGATTAATAAAAGTAGCAAGGTTTTGTACAATAACAGTGAATGAACGAAAGAGTTTGAAGGTAGCAATAAAAAATGTGAAAGGAAAGAGGAAAAGGTTAAGGCAATTTACAGGCACTATGTACATGATTAGTGGAGTAAGACGGAATATAAGAAGAAATGACGCTGGTGGCTGGGTGCGATTGCATCTTTCTAAGCTGTTTGGTTCTTTTTTTATCCTTTTTTTGTTACACCATTTATTTTTATTCATTTTTTGTCTTTTTTTATATTTTTTTATAGTGTATTTATACCTATTTATTATTTTTTTTTAAACGGGCTCATTGATGTGGAGGTTTGATGGTATACCTCCGTTGCCCTGGTTGTCATGGCTGAAAGGTGACTCATTATGTCTAAGTTTCGTCTTAGAATAATGCTCCACTCCGCTTCAACAGAAACTAGCAGCGGTGCTAAAGGCAATAAATATACCAGCGTATTAGGAGGAACAAGGTAAAAGCAACAGAAAAGAATGGAAAAAGAGGTTAAGATTTCAAAATCAGCATCAAGGTGTTACAAAAGCTTGGGCGGAATAATGTGAGGAAAACTAGTGTAACATGGAAGTGATACGCCAAATTGAAATAAAACAAAAGAAATTTCTAACACTGTGAAAACTTATGCAAGGTACAGAGAAGTGTGTGTATAACCAGTAGCTATGAGTAGTTACAATTACAATTAAAAAAAGAAAATATGTTGCGAGCTGTATAACTAAAGTGGTGCAAAATGATTGCAAGTACGGTTCAAAAACTAAATAATTTTCAAATTAGTTCAGCGAAGAGTCTCTTTTCGGCGAATTCATTCACTTAGCTGTACAGTCGCAAATATATACAATTAATTTTGTGTGTGTGTGTGTGTACATTAGGTTTGTCAAAATCAAAATAACAGTTAGTGTGGGTTGTTGATTATATCATCAAAATAATAAAGAAGTTAAAATGTGTGATTAATAATCAAAGTTGTAACTAAGTGGGGTGAAAATTGGTAAGATGTGAGTAGGATTACGTAATATAGACATGTTTAGAAAGATTAGATGTTAGTGAAGGAGTATGGAGACAATTATGAAAATAAACTAGATAATAGGTGAAAAGATTGAATGGGTTAGTTACTAAAAATTATTATACGAAAATTGCAAAAAATTTGATAACAAAATGTTGATGACGGATAAACTTGAAATTAAATTAATTAATTTCTTTATTATTTTGATGATGTATTCAACAACCCACACTAACTGTTATTTTGATTTTGACAAACCTAATGTACACACACACACATATACAAAATTAATTGTATATATTTGCGACTGTACAGCTAAGTGAATGAATTCGCCGAAAAGAGACTCTTCGCTGAACTAATTTGTTCTTATTTCAATGTCTTAATGGGTATATTTCGCGAATTAAATAAGTTTCAGCATGGCACAACCCGAGTGAACATAGTAAGGTCTGTGAAAATAGATTGAGCGGATTAAAATGTACAGCATAGAAGTGACGCATTTATGTGCAAAAATATTTAACGGTCCGTTTAACTATACAGTGAAATTTTTTTAGTTTTCTTTACATTTTATTATTATTTTTTATTTATCTTCTTTTCTATTGGTCTATATTTTTGTTTGTTCGGTTTGTAATTCCACAAGTGTTGGAAGCCACCATATGACAATAAAGTTGACTGGTCTAGCTAGCTGTTCGAGTGCAACGCCAAGAATAAAATGTTAGAACACTCTGTAACGGGAAAAAAATCTAACAGGGTTAGTAACGGGAAAAATGGCTACTGCCCACAAACGAAACCAAAAGGGTAAATATCATGAAAAATGAATGTAACCTGAGAAAAGACATGAGGGTATGAACTACTCTTGTACGTAAAAGCGTTTAGCTAACAAATTCACAGTATCGCTTAGGCCAGTGTATACGCCGACCTGTGCGTGTAACCGGTGCTTTACTTGTTGTATCCGGAGAACTGCTAGGTTTGGTAGAATGTACACCAACAGAACCTGGCTGGGATTCGGATGCAGAGGTAGTTGCTGGTGGTGTAGGCGTGCTTTACCTACCTTCAGCTGCGGACAACTTCCAAGAGAAAAAAGCGACTGGAATCCATGAGGTATGTACCCGCTGCTGTAGAACGGCTCCAATGGCTGTGTTAGATGCATCAACTGAGATGCTAAGCGGAAATTGGACGTCTAGGTGAACTAGCATGATGGCGTCTGCAATCGCCGACTTAATCTTTTGAAACGCTTCCCTAGCCTCTGGAGTCATGCTGAATGCCTTGCACTTACCCTTTAGTAGGTCTGTGAGTGCATGTAAAATATGTGCACACTAAGGAACAAACCGCCGGTAATAACTCACCATGCCTAGAAATGTGTGCAAAGATTTTGTGGACGTAGGCTCTGGGAAATTTTGTATGGCCTGTACCTTGTCAGGTAATGGGCGAATGCCATGTTCGTTAATGACATGTGCCAAGAAATTCAAAGAGGTGACCCCTATCTGACACTGCTAAGTTGAGTGTAAGGGATTGTGTCGTAAGCCTTTGGAAAACGGTCTGCAAGTGAAATTGATGTGTTGCCTCATCTGGACTAGCTGCCAAAATATCGTCCAGGTAGGCAAAGGCGAAATCTAGACCGCGCAAAACATCATGGATAAATCGCTGGAAGGTCTGAGCAGCGTTCTGAAGGCCGAAAGGCATTCGAAGAAATTCGAAAAGGCCAAACGGCGTAATCACGGCGGTCTTAGGGATATCATCGGGGTGAACGGGAATCTGGTAGTAAGCCCGTGTTAGGTCCAGCTTGCTGAATACCCTAGCTCCCTTGAGTGACGATGTTAAATCGTGTATGTGAGGGACGGGGTAGTGATCGGGGACAGTTTGTGTGTTTAACCTGCGGTAATCGCCACAAGGTCACCAATCTAACCCATTTCTTCTTGGGTACTACCACGTGCAAGGGTGAGGACCACGGGCTGCTGGATGGTCGGATTATCCCCATTTCCAACATGTGTTCGAACTCAGCTTCAACGGCCTTTAGCTTTTCTGGGGATAGACGTCGCGGCTTTGCAAAGACTGGCGGGCCAGTCGTAACAATATCATGCGTGACGTTGGAAGTCACACATGGTAGGCCACGAATGGGTTTAAACAAGTCAGGAAAAGATTGGAGTATATGGGAATATGGGCCGGATGAAGTGGGTGTAGTATATACCGGGCTGAGAGCTGGGCCCTGTGTGGTGATACCACTGACGGAGAGGTTTGTGACTGGATCTCTTAATGTGCGATTGCCCGTATCTACCAGTAATTGGTAGTGCTGCAACAGATCCATACCAATTATACCTGTGGTCACGTCTGCCACTAGGAAGACCCAACGAAATGAACGGCGCAAACCAATATTAAGATCTATGAAACGCCTGCCGAACGTAGCAATTGGCGAAGCATTTGCGGCACGTAGTTGCAAAGACATTGGCCGCCTGCGCTCCTCTAAGGTGGTTGGGATTACACTGACCTCAGCTCCGGTATCAATGAGGAAGCGTATCCCCATGTTGCGGTTGGTAACATAGAAGAGGCGACATGGGAGTGGTTCGCCAGCGACGTTAGTCGCCAATACGTGCTGGCCTGCTAGTTTCCCGATTGTTGGACATCGAAAGTGCATGGGCGAGTACACTTTTGGGCCTTGTCACCATAACGCCAATGATACCAGCACACTCCAGGCTGAGAATTTCGAGACTTACGACGCCTACTGCTAGCATGTGGAGAAGATCTACTACGAGTCGAGTTGGGGCGACTAATCGAGCGACCTCTAGATTTCATCTCCTGTCTTATACTACATATCTCCTCATAAAACTCGGTTATGTGGGCCACCACATCTAAGCTTGATGACCTCCCGGCCGAAGAATCCTTGGCCTGAGTGGGACTATCGTCTCCCGCAGCCGAAATGGTCATGTTGGATCTAGCAGCTTCCACCACTCTATCGGCTGCCTCTGCTAGTTCCGATAAAGGGGACTTGTAGATCGGGGCTAAAATGCCCTGAATTTCCTGAGGCAATCTTTGTAACCAAACTTGTTTTATTTTCAAGTCCGCAACTAACTGTTTCATTTGTCACAACATTTGAGTGGGTTTTCTGTCACCGAGCTGAACATCTCGAAAAAGTTCCTGCACTTTCTGTTGATTAGTGAGTGGAACGCGCTTAATTAGTGCCTGCTTAAGATACTCATACAGGTTGGGGGACGGGTCCTCAAGAACGTCAGACATCTCCTTCATGACATTCTCTGGAAGACTCACAATTACCAGGTTAACCTTGGTTTCTTGTGAATGTATGTGTCTGAGGGCAAACAGAGCTTCTACGTGGCCGAACCATGCAGCAGCAGGACGATGTGTCCAGAAGGTGGGGAGTTGCAAGGTGATAGCCATTTGTGAAACAGAGCTGTTGTCGGCCATCATGGGAACAAGATGATATATTAACAGAGTGATAACAACAAATATAAGTAAAAACAAGGCAAGAAAAATTTTATAACTCTATGTGAGAAATAAACAAAATAGTCAATATGGAAAGGAACTATTAACACGTGAAGCTACTAAGGTGGCAAACAGTGAAAACACGGGCTCACCACTTGTAGGTGTTAGACTTAACGTAGCTTAATGTAGACCTAAAACAATCACCCCTACAAAACTTATTCATCGCTTTCTGGCCTTAGCTGTACTCTGCCTAACGTGCAAGTGTAACAACAGAAGACAAGGGCCAGGCAACAGATCGTTTATTTAGGAAAATCAAAACATATTTATAGACTTTAATGTACATTATTGTAGATTATTATTAGTAGAAAATGCAGTCTTTTGATTGGTTGTTTCTCACAGAAAGTTAACCTTGCATCTCTTTGTGGCTGTGTCAGATCATCCATATGCTAACTGTATCCGACTGCGAAAAGCCTTTGTTCTCATTTTCTCACCACGAATATTGGGGACATAAACACTGACGTCAATTACCGTCTACCAACTTTGGCTAGCAGCCAGCTCTCACCACACAAGCACTAACGAACTGAATCAAGGTAAAACGACTCGAGATGGCAAGTGTGCCTAGAACAGAGTTATATTTTTACACAAATGAGATATGAAACTTGATAAAAATAGGAGGTTATACACTCATCTGCTGCCTTGACCGTGGTAGGCTCGGAGAGTGAGCTGAATGAGAGCACAACGAGAGAGCGAACCCATAAGGTAGAGGAGAGTCACGAATCGAAAAAGGAAGAAGAGCCAAAAGTGGGTGAGTGCGTTCAAACAAAAGTTCAATGTACACTACAACTTCTTCTGAAAGATATTATAATATTCCACATGATTACACATGTATCGAATCATCCGTTAGAGCAAAATGTGTTCCCCTGAAATACACATCAGTACTCTCTCACCATTATCACCGATTGAAGTTTATCGCTAATCTGAACATACGCACACATGAGTATGGGTGTGTTAGACACATTATTATTATTATTATTATTATTATTATTACTGTTCACACTTCCCACCTCTGTGTTGCAGTGATGTGATGGACGATGAGTGAGTGTTGGATTAATTACACTCATTGCTCATTTTTGTCATCGTAGTTGTTTGTTTCTCCCTAGATGCATTTCTCTTAGTAACTGAGAGGATAACTAACCAACTAA